CTAGAAAATAGCAGAGAATTCAAACCCAGGGCAGTGTGATGCCCAAGCTATCACATCACACTTCATAAAAGGACAGCCCACAGACTCAGGGGTGGGTGGGGGAAGGGTGACTTGGAGCCAACCTCAAAATGACGGTAGACAACAGGGTAAGGGCGGCAGTGCTTAGAAGTAGAGGCAAAACCTTGGTGGCCTCTAACATCCCACCCTGGCCCTTGACCCCACAGATCTACACAAACACTCTGACCTCTGCTGGCCACCTTCTCCTCTCTTGGCTTCTGAAAACCTGTGAAAACCTCTTCTTTACGTGCTGGCCACTTATCTCCCTGTCCGTACCCTTCTTGCTCCTTGGACAGCGTTTACTCCAGGGAGATTTTCCTCTGCTCCCATGCTTCCTCCCTTCCTCTCAGCCTCTCCATCTCTCCCCTATCTATTCCCTCTCCTATTCTACATCCTCCCTCTCCCCTCACTTTGCAAGATCCTCTGCTCCTGCTTTAAAATGTTCATAAGGGATGGGATCAGAACATTCAGGGAGTCATACCTGGTACTGCATACCATTTTACGCTTCTGGTTTGGTCACTCTGTCTTAGAGCCCAGTTCAGGGGCAGGACTAGGTCCAGGGTTCCAGGAAGATATCTGGGCATTCAGCTGACAAGAGAGTCCCATGGCAGCCAGGCTGAATGACAAAGTTTCCCAATGCCTCTAGTCCCCAGCCCTCCTGAGCCCCCGTCCTCGCTTGATGGGAGGGCAAAGGGGGCATGGTAACCCATGAAGCAGAGAGGTAAACACAGCTCTGGATAGGATGGCTGAGACCCTACCCGGACTTCACACCCTGCCCCAACATGGCCCAGAATAAAGAGATGTTTAGGACTCACCCCATCTCTGAGCTGCAGTGAGGAAAGCAGATGCCTGCTTCGTGAGGTGGGCACATGCCCCTCTCTAGCTTGGGACTGTCCGATGAGTATCTCCCTGGTCAGGATATTTCAGCTCCTTCCTCCCTTTGCCCTCCTCCCAATGAGCTCATCTGTCTGGGGCTCCCCACCCCCCGTCCTTTGCCTGAAAGAATGTTTGGACAGAAAAATAAAAAGAAGAAGGGAGGGATGGAGGAGGCAGCTGCCTACCTGCCTGTGCCCAAGGCCCTTAGAAAATGCAGATGGGTGAGGAGGGTTCAAGAGGAAGAGTTTATCTTTACTCTAAGTTGCTGGTGCGAGTTGGGCTGGGAAGCAGCAGGCAAGGTGGCTAGCACCGGTTCCTTGCTGGACTGCTAAGCCACGTGCCTGCGGGTTGGTTTGGTGCATGCTGTTCTGTTAACCCCCTCGGCACCTGCCAAACTTCATAGATGCGGACACTGTGGCTGGGGACAAGCAAGCTGGAGGAAAAAAAATGGTGAGTAGGGACGGACAGGGAACAAGGAGGAGGCTCCCAAAAGTTAGTCCAGTACCCTCCACCAACCCCAACCCAAAAGGCAGAAGGATTTGGGGCATTTAATTTTAAGTTAATGCATACACAGAATCTCAGTGCCTGCAGTACTGCCATCATGAGGTTGGGGCCCTGTTCATAACCAGAGGGTAGATCAGGGAAGGCGGAGAGGGAAAGCAGCTCTAGGTGTTGATCTGAGGCTGGCTGGTGGAAGAAAAGCTGTGAGGTGGGAGTGCAGGGCTCCCTGCAGAGCTGGAGTTCTCAGCCGCTAAGAGCCAAGTCAGCGCTGTTACCTGCAATGCCCCTACAGGAACCGCAAGGGCTTATGGGGGAAGAGGGTGGGGGAGGAAGGCAGCAGGCAAGGGCAATAGGGGAGCCAGAGGAGAGGAGGCTCCCTGCCAGGCTCTTGTTACTTAGGAGGAACTCCTCTTAAAATAGCTCTGGAGACCTCATCAGAGATCTCCCTTTCCCTTCCTCCCCCGCTGGGGGCTTGGCTGGCTTTCTGAGAACTGACAGGGATGGAACCTTCCATCTACCCACCCTGGTAGAAGGTGGGACCACCCCCACAGTTGAATGCCTTCCCGTGAGAGCGTCTCCCAGAGGCCAGGAGCTGGAGCTCTGCCCCCATCACTGCCGGTCCCACTTCCTCACTGCAAACCGATCCCCCATACCCACCAGAGTATGTGTTATCCCATTGCCAAGAATCAAGCTTGTTGGAGCACAGCTGGGGGCTGTGTCCAAGCCACCATCCCTACCTTCAAGGGACTTCCAGCAGAAGGAGAGAAAGGAGCCAAGGTGCCCACCCATTTCTTCCCATCCCATCTCAGAGACTGGGGGCTTTCGGGGGCGGGGATCAGGGAGGGCTCCTCAAAGAGATAGTTGCCAAAAGGCAGGAGAGAAGGAACTCTGATCTTTTATTGCCCTCTCTTTGGGACCCTTAGTAGGATCCTCCAAGCTCCCTGATCAATGGACTAGTGTTTTGAGATTTTTGAGGCAAGTGTTCCATAAATGTTAAAGTCCTCTAGCTACTCATGCATTTCTCAAGCACCTTTCCTCCCAGCTGTGGAGCACTCCCAATGTTCTTCAGAGGAGAGCTGGAGGTTCAGAGGAGCAAATCAGATAATAGGAAGGTTGTAATCCTAGCTTTAAGAGTCACTTTCTCTGTGACCTTGAGCCACACATTTGACCTCTCTGGGTCTGTTTCTTTATCTGCACAGTGTATAGGTTTCCTAAGGATGATTCTGGCTCTAAGAACGGGTGAACAGTGAGGCAGAGGGGAAGGTGAGGGGCACAGAGGAAACTGGCACCCTTTCCTGTCACCAGGATCTAGAGATATCCAGGGAACTCTGTCCCCTCCTCTCCTCCTTCTCAGGGCAGGGGTCATTCTCTTTCCTTTTGGCTCATCTTCTGTCTCACCTCAGCCTCCTGTTCTGAGAAATATGACCCCTGCTGTAAAAATAAAGTGGATTATTTAGCAGCTTGAATGCTTGGCCTGTTGATCTAGTGTCCAGGACTGCCCAGGGAAAGAAAGAGTGAGTGTGCAAACCTGGAGGTGGAAAGAGGCTAAGCTTTTTTTGGGCCACAGACTTCTCTGAGAATAATAAGAGCTAAAATGTACTGTGGACTTACCCTATGCCTAGCATTCTGCTAAGCACTTTTACATTCAATAATATTTTATTCAGTCTTCACAGCCAGGTCAGTTTCTGATGTTTGTTTGTAAGGCCTGGGGCAAATGTACACATGGAAATTACATACGTCTAAATATAAGTTGTAAATCGAGATAACAAAGTGTTAAAATTTACCTATATCCCCTGCCTTTGGTTAATTTTCCTTGGTCTTAATTTTAAGGCCAGTTCCAAACACTATGTCCTGTTCCCCTCTTCTCTGGTCCTGAGGGACAGGGCCCCTCAGGCATGCCTGAGAATGTTCCACATGCATGTCGAGTTCTATCCACTTCCTACCCTCTGCAAACAGCTGCCCTTTGACCACTCCCCCAGACAATGGGTATACATTTGCATGGTCAGCTCCTGAGAGGCTACCTGGAGTGTGGTCTAGAAGGGGAGATGCATGGTCCACCCTCCCTCCTGCCCCACGAACCCCCTTTCTAGTGGCCAGAAGAAGGCCAGAATGAGGCCTCTAACCTCAGGAGCCTAGGGCTGAGGCCCCTGCTGCCCAGATCTAAGGGTGGCATTGCTCTTAACCATCCCAGGAGGTAAATATCATTATTTTTATCATTTACAGATGAAGCTTCTGCAGAAGTTGCATAACTTGCTCAAGGTCATACCACAATAAATGCTGGAGCTGGTTTTTACTTCCCAGCACCTCACTCCAGAGCACTATACTGTCACAGCTATACTGAAGAAAGACAGAAAGCCTCTCTCCAGAAAAAAAATTCAGGATTTCCCATATAACCTCAAGGGGTCCATGTTCTCTCTGAAGCCCACTGGGGACCTCAGGTTAAGAAAGTGGGTGGTAGTGGGGCTGTAGCAGGGGTCAGGCCATGAAGTGGGAGGATATGGAAAGAATGGAGGGTGGGGAAGGCAGGCAGGATTTGCGGTAGAGGGGGTGGGAACTTGGACGGTTGGCAGAGGGTACCGAGGAGGATATGACGTTAGCTACCAAACCAACCCAAATAGCACTCTTCACTCTTAACTCAAGAATGTCTGAAAAGGGCTTGCTTGTTGGCAGTCTCATCTCAGCCCTCTGACCTGGCTGATCCCCAAGCCGGGACCCAAAAGGGAGGTGGAGGGAGTCTTCCCGGGTGCTGAAGGAGAAGGGAAACTCTTGGAGGATGATGGAAGGGCAGAGTCTGAGGGGGACACCCCAGGTGGGAGAATGAGAAGAAGAGGTGCCGCGGTAGGGAAGCAGGCGCGAATCGGTTGCGTCTGGCCTGATGCCCTAACAAGGAGCACCATGATTTCTGCAGAGACTATGAAGAAATGGGAGAGGTTGGGGAGCGGTTGGGGGGAAGTGTGTTACTAGAAGCTCTGTTTTCGGAGCCGGCCACACGCCGGTCCGCGGCGGCAAAGGGCAAGCCTGCGCACTCCCACCCGCTGTGGCAGTGCCAGCTGCGGACATTCAAGCGGTCTCTTCGCGATCCCGGGAGGGGAACCACTACTCTATCCGTGTTCTCCAAAGCACAACAACACAGCCTTCCACATCCGAAAAGCTCTACCTCTGTTCCGCCCCAAACTATCCTCCTATTTGGCAGCTCAGTGCATGGGACGATGAGGGCGGCTGCAGGCGGCTCTGCAGTGACAAGCCGCAGTAGCCGAGCCCCAGATGGAGAGGGAGTCGGGGGCCCGACCTGCTCCCCGGGCTTCCGGACCACGGGGCGGGCGCACCCTGCAAGGCACGCAGAGGGCGCCCTGAGCTCCGTGCCGGCCACCCCCATTCCTGCGGCTGGAGCGCTTCCAGGGCAGAGGCGCAGCGACGCTCGCCTCTGCCCTCGGCTCAGCCATCCTCCCGCTCCTCTTGCTTCTCCTCCTCCAGCTCCTCGTGCTCCTCCTTCTCCTCCTCGCGCCCTCAGCTGCCGCTCCTGCAGCCGGCTCCTCCTCTCCCTCCCTCCCCCTCTCGCTCTCTACCCGCTCTCTCCTCGCTAACTTTCCCGTGCCGGGGCAAGCGGCGCAGAGCTTCCCCTGCAGCTTGGGGCCCACTGCAGACCGCGGGCTACCAGCGCGGCTGTGCCTTGTATCCCATCTCTGCGCCCTGGCGTGCTCGGGAGAGAACGGAACCATGCCCGGGGATGGGGACCGAGGCGCAGCCCAGGCGAGATGGCTGGGCACTGGGCTTTTGGGTAAGGCAGTCCCAGCTTGGTCTCTTCTCCTGCCTCTCTCCCCCCGCCCCGCTACCCTCTCCCCAGAGGAAGGGGCACTTAGAAGAACAGTACTTGGGACGGGATGGGCTTTGGAGTGCGGCATGGAATGAGCACGGCTGCCATCGGCTTCTTGCCGGACGTCCGGCTTGGTCCGCTATGTTCCCTGAGGACCATGCGCGTCCCCCCAGCCCCATCGGCCCACCAGCCTCGCGATTAGTTCTTTGCTGTCTCTGGCGCCTTCAGCTCCAGGTTTTTTGGGGCTGCAGCGCGCGTCTCCAGAGTTCAGAGGTTTTGGTGTGTTGGGGGAAGGTGACTATGCC